GTGTAAAAAATAATCAAAGACCACATTTTCCCCACTGTTTAAATGAAGACTTTGTGTTGTAATATTTAGGCAATTAATCAGTCCTTTGAGGGGGGGGGGGTAATAAATAAATCACATTTTCAAGATTAAAAATATGCAATTTTACATTTGTAACTTCATCAAGAGTGTGGATGAGTGCACTATGAATCCATGAGCAATATATTGAGTAATAGATCTTAAACAGTACCGTTCAAACAATATCTCCCCCTTCGTCAGGATGCAGGACATCTTCCGAGGATGACTTACCCTGAGCTGGGATCTCCTGCATAGAGTCTAACAACCTACAAAGAGCACAGATACTAAGATACCAAGACTGCATGCAATTTGTGATACATGGAATGAATGTTGAATGTTAAGAGTTACAGACGGTGGTGAAGTGTGTGCTGTGTGAAATCAAGGAAATGGAAGACGACAGAAAACATGGGCCGGCGCACAGCTCTGTTAGTTGTTTTACTTCTGCCTGTGTTACAATTCTTTTCTTTTGACTTCTACTTGCTGGGACCTAACACAGGAGTCAATGGATGCACCATCAAAACTTCTGTGTAGCAACAGGAAACGGAAATTAGAGTCAATTTTAGTCTCTCGTAGGTTTGAGGAGCAGTGAACAGATTTCATCAGCTGACTTAAGGGAGGTCAGACTCAAACGTTTGTTTTTTAAACTGGCAATGACTCATAACTGAACAATTGAGCCTCGGTAGAACTGTTTTCTACAATCATGGTCGCTGAGGAACACACGCATCATCACAGGGTTTCACTGGAATTTATGTTACGTAACTTTCCATCATTTTCACTGATGGGACAGAGAGGGCATCATGTGACAAGCTGATAAGTCAAGGGTGTGGAGAACGAAACTGAAGCGTGTTCTGAGTTAAAGCGCGTGGCTATCACTATGTGCATCTGCTATCGGCCTACCTGGGGTGGAATAATTTCACAGTTAATACGGCATTTTTGGTTTCAGTTGTTTATTAAAAAGCCTTCAGAAGAAAAGCAACTTGTAAAGTAAATAAAATCATACATAACGGTGCTATGATTCTGTTTTCGCAAGAAAAGATGAACACAAAGTGTAAAAAGAACAAAAACACACTGAATCTTTTGATTTGTCATGCTAACATGTGTCGCAACTTTTTTAGATTATTGTACAGCCTGCCACACCAAGTATTATATTAAAGCACTTCTACGCTAAATTCTTTTTAACGATTTTTGATGACCATTTTGTGATAAACCACCAACGTTAGTCTGAACACAATAATCTTCCCTTATTAAGAAAGTTTGTCACAGTTTCCCAGAGGCCTTGTCCATTTAGAGAAATTGAAAGGCAAGAGTGTTTGCAGTACTGCATCACACTGGCGTAGACTAAGCACCTTCCTATTCTGAAAAACACTTTAAGGATTTGAACAGTGAAACAAGCAGAGAAACAGGAAAAAAAAAAAAAAGCATAAACAGCTCTGAAAAATACGTGAACTGTAGACATGTAATCGTATGTTTTTAAATACGGGGCTGTCCGCAAAACAGTATCTTCCAGTAAGTCTCAGGCGAACGCAACGCAATCCGCCATAGACGAGGGGGATGCATAGCGCCACGTGCATCAGCAGACAATGACGATCTTGTCATATTCTAAACCTGAAAAGAGAGCACACACCACATGTCAAGGAGCGCGTTTTACTCAGGGATCGCGCAAGACTGATGTTTGAGCAGATATATTTTAAGATTCTACCAGCAATGTTGGATGGTTGTTTACTGATTGGCTGCGCTAGATCTGAAGGACTTAAGAGCTCTGCCCGATGGTGGTGATTGAAGACGTGATTCTACTCTTCTATGTACGGATTGGGCTCCATTTATTTCTACACACTGTCATTTGAACAAGTATGTCATTTATGTCAAAAATATATGAAAATAAAATGCCCGCCCCCTCCTCTCACCTTGCATTATACTCTTGGGTGCCTAATAGCCCGCATAACGAGGTTGTGGTGGTGGCGGGGGAGGCGCTCTCTCCATGAAGTCCCTGGGACGGGGGGCTGCGTACATCGGCGCTCTGGGCATCGGAGACAGCCTGGTCCGCTCATAGGAGAAGCCGTTACCTGCGGGCATAGCAGGCGGTGGGGGTGCTCGTCTGATGGGGCTTCGGTCTCTGGCCATGTAGGAGGGAGGAGCATATGGGGGCTGGTGCCGCTCATACGGATCAATAGACCCCATTCCAAGACGTTCTCTGACCAGCGCTGAGGGAGGAGGTGGAGGAGGGGGGATAGCACGCCTGTCATCGGCGCCACTAGGACGGGCTCTGTATTTCTCATAGTAATCGACCACCCCATAACCGTCTCGCTCACCATAGCCACGGTCGGGGTACGCCGCTCGTCTCAGGGGAGGGGGCGGCGGAGGAGGAGGAGGAGGGTAAGCAGACATGCGGCCTCTGTAGGGAGGCTCGGGCCCCATTGCTGGGTAGCGAGGAGGATAATAGCCTCCTCTGCCTGGCGGAGGTGGATAGGCCTCCTCCTCAGGTGGCCCTCTGGGTCTGCTTTTTGATATTTGAACATGAATGCGCTTTCCTGAGTGTGAGAGAAACACAGTATCCCTCAAATCTCAAAGGCGAAACACAAACCACAAATGACGGTAGCACATCATCTTCACTTACCTTGAAAGTCTGTGTTATCCAGACCTTTGATGGCATCCATGGCCTCGTCCGAATTGGACATGTGCACAAAGGCAAAGTCCTTGACGATGGCCGACTCTGTGACTGTGCCGTACTCCTCAAAGAGGGTGCGGAGCTCCTCATCGAATCCCTTTTCGACATTGGCAACGTGGAGCTTCACCGGCCCCTGGTTCTTCCCCCTGCTGAGTTCCACATTGATGGGCCTGCCGTTCAGCTTGTAGAGATGCAGCTCGCGGATGGCCTTGGTGGCACACTTGCGGTCCTCCATGTGGACGAAAGCATAGTTCTTGTACTTGGCACATTCTGTCACCGTGCCGTACTGCGTGAACAGAGCCTCAACCTCTTCCTTCCCTGCGTGCTGAGACAGGTTCCCGATGAAAATCTTCACCATGGCTGCTCCAGTGGACCTTTGCAAGAGGGGCTGAAGACAGGGGGGGGGGGGTTAACACAGGCCACCATGTATTGCACAGAGGAACCACAGAGAGCAGATGGAGACTGGATAACGTCATGATCAGGAAATAGAAACCCAGTACCTGAGGCGACTGAAGGCTAAAGAGCCACCATAGGGAAACATTACTCAGTCCTGTCACCACAGACCGTGTTTACTTCCGCTGTTACTCACGTTTAACTTTGTATTCGGGTCAAAAGCAGCTGACACAGACAAGACTGGAGACGAGAGACGCTCTGTGCTGTTACTTCCTGGACCATTAGCGCAGCCGCTAGCCGGGCTCGGTTCAGTTCAACCGTATCTGCTAGCGAGCTAACGTTAGCTACACAGCCATTTTTGTCGCGTGCGACGGAGCTAAACAAAGTCCAGTTCAGACACAGACGCCGCGCGGGACTCTCGCTCGCAGACGCGTGGGAACACAGCTTCGATGTGAGCGACCCGAACGATGGAAGGCGAGAATACTCACTGCTCGTGGAAGGCGCCACCGCGAAGTCGAAACCCCTGCTGTCACAAACAGGAAATACCGGCTGGCGATACGCGCGCAGCTAGGGATCCGATTGGTGGACGGACACGTCGGTTACGGAATAAGGATTGTGATTGGGCGAAGAGTGAGGGAAGGGAAAAAGGCATGTTTTTAAAAAGTTGTGTTTCTGGATGAACCTGTTTCTTCAAAAAGTTCGTCATCAGTAGAGAACGAAATGAAACGTGTCAGTGGTGAAGCTTGTTCCGAACACATTTCTATCTAGATATTAATAATAATAATTCATAATAATAATAAGTGACATACTCAATCTGCACATATGTACACATTCTTTGTAATTGACGAATACATTTTATTATGAAATTGATTGAACATTTCAGTTTGAATGAATAAACAACTTATCAGT